AAGACAGTTAGACGTAATGAAAGAAAGTTTAATGGAAATGATAACTATCAAAAAAGTCAATGAAACAGAAAACTTTGGAACAATAAGCACATTGAATGAAGGGAATGTTTGTACAGTTTTTCGAATTTCAGTGGTGTGAGTCGAAGGAGAAACAGATTTGCTGAACGGTATTGAATGGCCCGGGATTCGTCTTGAAATACCCCGACTGGTACCACGCATAGCGAGTCATATGAACGAACTTCGGTGAACAGAGTTGATTATAGGCCAATGAATTAAAATGATAATGTTGTTGCGCTGGGCCAGATTCAGATCGAAATCATACAGTCGCACATGATCGTATGCCTGTCGTATCAGATACTTGTACTGTCTATTCCAATATACTGTTTGAAAACCAAAGAAAAAAATAATTAGATATTTCAGAAATGCAAACTATTTACCGTCGAGAGGTTGTATCATCGAAGTGGTCTTCTTTGGTATTTCCAGACGCTCGAGATTCTTCACTTTTCGATAAAGATTGACATCTCCCTGTCCACCCCAGTAATCAGAGAGTAGAAGACATTTCTTGTCTTTCACAGTGGGCTGTAATACCTTATCGATCCAGTATTCGACTGAAATATCAGTAAAGATATAGTGATATTGACATTAACTTTCACTTACCCAAACTCGTTGTCAACTTTCCCGATTTTGAACAGGTGACGACCACGTTCTTGGCTTGAAATAAGCCGCCCTTAATTGTCTCACTCATATGTCCTGGCTGTTCTTTCAAGCAGAGAAAAAGAGGGTCCCTCCCATGGAGATCATCGGTTGAACAGTGTACGAATGAGTGGTGTTGTTGATAGATCTCACTCTCGCCACTGTCAATTTTTCGCCTTCGAAGGAAAGTATACGATTTGAAATCATCTCGAGCTGCAGTCCACTTTGATCGGTGTTCAGGATCAAGTCAGGCTTGTACTTCGGCACGATCTTTTGCACTTTGAGAACGAATTCATCTGCGAACTTATTGATGTTCTCGACATTTTCTGTTTCTCTTTTCGTCACGAGTTTCGTTACATATCGCGAACAGATCCCATGGCGATGCTTGAACCGATACAGCCAGTGATCACTGGCACAGAAGATCTGATCGTCCAACTCTCGTGCTTTCTACAGCGCCTGACTCTTCAGATCAATGTCATAGATGAACATCAAATTTTCACGAGCATTTTTGAAGAAATCGTACGTCGCCTCATCGTTCTCGTCCAGCTTCTGTATTTTCTGGATATCGAAAAAACTGACTGAGTTATGAATTTTTCAATGTAGTGCGTTTTTCGCTGGGAAAAACAGAAAAACGGGTGTAACTTTGAAAGGAAGCAAATCGGACAGATATCCTTTGAGGCTTTTTCACACCTCAATAGGACCTATCGATCGACACATGAACGGACGAAATCGGATTCCGGCACCTGGGAATGTTCCCTCGTAAGTTGATCATACGTAATCAAAGATGGCTGTTTCTCCCGTAACAAAGGATGTATTTCTTCACTTGGAGCTTTTCGTGATGCTGTTGTATATTTTGGAACAGTTTTGCTTGATGCTGGATCATTTAATAATTTTTTTGGCGTAGATGTTCTTGAATCCTGTTGTGGCTGTTTTCTTGTTGTCAATGATTTCCACTCATTGAGAATTTCGCTTGCTGTTCCATTTTTAAATGCATTTATTGTTTTATTCAAATCGAATTGGAAATGATCCAAAATCAATTCAATATCATTCTGTTGTTGTTCTTCAATGTTTAATTTGCGAAGCTCTTCTCGGACCCGATTAAAAACTTTACGAGATTGTTGTGATCGTGGCTTTGACATTGGCTCTATAAAACAACAAGAAAAACAGACGTTTTATTTTATCTTCTGAAAACAGTTATCTATTCGTTTTATTTCTTAATTTGCGACACTTCTGCAGAATAGTTACACCCTCACACCTCACGCAAATCAATCGATGTACAATAAAAATTTTATCATTTTTACAAATGTTTTAGCTCGATGATTCTGGATGTTCTTTAAAGTCCATCAAAACTACCCACTCTCTTCCATTCATTTCATGAAACATTAGATAACGGCTGACTGTTAGGCACTATAAAGCTGTGTTCATTTGTTGTGAATTCAAAATTATCCAATAACCTTTATTTTTTGGTGCTTGTGAAGAAAAATTATCTTTTACCATTATATCCGCTGTAATGAGATATTTGGTATGGTGAGATATTATTAAAATCTCTGCTCTCACAATCACAACCTATGGGAAAACTATAGAACAAAGCTATTTTGTGAGTACTACTATATTTATTTAACTTCGAAAAACTGATGTTCATGGTACGAGGACTGACGACTAAGTGCATCCGCTATAGTGTCACTAAAACATATAGGATATTCAAAATTCGAACTGAAATTCATTGGATGAAAATTTTAGATTTAAATTAGCTTCAAATAACATTTC